ATTTATCATTTCATGTTCCCTCAATTACTGTATTTTTCTGTATTTGAATATCAGTGACTTAGTATCAGTTTCAACCAAATTCGATAAAAGGGTCAAGGATCATAAAAGATGAAGAAAAAGACTTTTTTTCATTTATATTTTACGAAATCTTAAAGAATCAGATTTTGCAATTCCACTCTAAAAAACATTATAATATTAAAATAACATGCTTCTTTTTCAGATTCAGATGCTTATTTTCATGATATTCTATTTCGGAGAAATAATATTACGTCAGAAATCTTTCTGATTTTTATGAGACTACAAAGACGCGTCGAATTTTGCAAATTGATTCTTAAAACGTTATAATACGTTATTATAACTTATTATATAATGCATTATTAATTATGTGTATCTCAACTGCCTTAGTACATATCGGATGATGATATTCAGAACGAATTTTTATTTTGCCTTTTTACTAAAAAAAAATTGCTGTGTACAAACCTTCACATGATTTACCTAATTATGAGTATCGCAATTAAAATATTATTTATGCAGTATTTTAGCCGTAATTTCAGTAGGAAGAAATTTGTCTCCAACTAAAGGCCTCCATAATCTTTTCTGTCGACTCTTAAAGAATCGTTTATGCCAAAACCCTTAAGTCTTAAATGCTGACGCAAGAATTTGCATGCACGAGCTATCGTATACTTCTGATAAGATTGAGGAGATTGTTTTTCAGGCACTTGATAAGTTTGTCTTTTAGGCCTTCTTTGTAACTGAACTGTACCTTTTATATTAGTACTTGTTCATTTACAATATAATAGATATATGTATATTTAAAAATTAACACAATGTCATGGCTTATTTCGAGCTATAATTAACTTTAGATTAATATAATTAACAAATGTTTCGGCTAAAGCCTTCTTCAGTGCTACAACATAGAGATACAATCTTAAATTAACGAACATATTGGGTTATCTGGAAAGTTCATGCCGGTGTTGAAGGAAAAATTGAAACGCAGAAAATTTAAATTTTAGTATACATTTATTAAATTATATAGATTAGTCGGCACGAACTTTCCGGACAACCCAATAGAATAATGGATACAATGGAAATTTAAAAATCGTCAATGGTGAAATATAAAAAAAGATAATATATTATTAGTGTGAATAAGAGATACAAAATCAAATAATAACTTACGATAATTTATATAAAATATTGTAATCTAAACTCTCAATCAAAGATCCGGTTACGTACAATAAAGATACTGACTGTGCTCGTTTGAAAAGTAACTGATGTGAAGTGTAGGTCAAATAAAAGTAAATCAATGAAATCAAATGTAAAATCAAGCCTATTCAAAACTGTGACCAATTATGTTCTCATATATCGTCTAGTATGTTAAAATAAGAGTTATCTAATTACTCAGTATCTTTCATTAAATTTAATCGTTTTTTTGTTCTTTAATATCATTTTAGAAATATTTCTTTTACGATAATTTTTTTCAAAATCAAGAATATTAACTTTTTCCCAATCAAAGTCATGATTAGTTTCTATGATATGTTTCGAGATTATTGAGATTATTGAGTATTTGGAATGATCGTTGTAGCACTGAAGAAGGCTTTGTAAACCGAAACGTTTGTTAATTATATTAATTCAAAGTTAATTTAATTATAGCTCGAAATAAGCTATGACGTGTTAATTTTTAAGAAAATATACGAGCATTTTTTACTCCATCTATATTTAAAGTTTAGCAAAAATGCGACAAAGAATTTAACTCTGATGCCGGCTGCAGACCAGCGTGATGCGCGCGACATGCGATATCCAATGAGTCGGTACATACATACAGATTTACTGACGTTCTCATTCTAAAATCTAAAGCTATTCATTATCGCTCGCGACGAACATCGCGCTGATTTGCAGCCGACATTATTATTAAACAAAATGGTAAGCCTATTCTTTTTTGGATTTTTGCATTAGTTCATCTTTCTCTTCTTTCCTCCTGGAGAGAAAAGGAAGAAAGATGAACGATACAAAAGTTTAAAAAGAACAGGCCTGCTACTTCATCGGACAATTCTGTCTGACTACGGCCGAGAAGATAAACTTCAGCGCAATGTTAAAACAGGGATGAAAGGCATTAATTGCGCGAACAAGTTCGAATATCTCGGACACGTCCATTTTTTTCACCTTTTAAAATAATAATAATTTTTCAAAATTTTTAAAAATTCACGAACATACTTTCAATTTTTTATTTTAGAACAAATTTTTCATTTTAGCAAATCTTATGGAAATTGAATTTCGATCGAATTGTCTGAAAATTTGATGTTGTAGATTTTGTCGTTGTGATAAAAAATCTACGAGCATTTACCCCCTGTAATGATAAATGAATCATTTGACCTCTATGAAGCGTCATTTTTCAAAACGAGCTAATATTACAATATCTTATTTTCAACGAGTGCATTTCTACATTATTATTTGTTTTTTCTGTGTATATTTTTAAGAATTAATACAAGTAAAAAGAATTAATACAAGAATAATATTGTTTCTCACAAAAAAGCTATAAAGATATCGAAATGGATAACTTGATTTTTGAGATTTAAATCAACGAAGCTTCACGTCTAGAGTGCAGAATTTTTGGCACGATTATGGGGCGCACACGAAGAACCACTGTGTGTTTTGTTTATATTGAGTAGACCGTGTGCTGGTCGAAGTATTGCTATCTCATTTCAGTAAACATCCGGCTTGTACGCAGCGAATCTTTGTACGCATCCCGAGATCATGCTTGAATTCTTGCGACCTATTCTTTTCAGAGTTATTCTTTAAATCAGTTGTTTTCGTAACTACTTATACTATTAGTTCTTATTGGTTAAATATTTCTTTCTTGTAAGAAAATTATATTTTTTTAATAAAAATTCATTTTTCTATTGAATCTTGCAATACTTATAATAAGCATCCCGATTTGTGAGAAGCGAGAATACTCACAATAATCGAAAGTACTCTGACTTATGAGAAACAATCAGATGAATATTATTCTTATAACTTTTTACTTAAAAATATACATAGAAAGTGCAAATAATGACGTAGGAATATACCGTACATGTTAAAAATAAGAAATGTAGTATTAATCCATTTCGAAAAATGACACCTCATAGAGATCAAACAGTTCATTACAAGGAATCATGCCTGTGGAAATTTTTTATCAGAACGACAACATATCAAATTTTTCAAGCAATTCGACAGAAATTCAATTTCCATAAGATTCGTGCGAGGTCCTTTAGTATAATTTGTATAATATAAACAGTATTTCTTAAGGCTTAAAAATTATATTTCTATTATAAATAGAAAAATTATAATCTATTAGATCCGAACTAAAAGAAAAGCAGTTTATATTTGTTTCGCTTCAACTTATTGCATTGAGTGCACTAATTCAGATAGTGCAGGAATAAAGAACAGATCTCATATAACCATGAGCGAATTGTTTAATTCATCGATTAATCAATCGCATTGTGCGCAAATATAATTTGGTTCCGTAAAAGCTACATTTGCGCATAATGTGATTGATCATTCGATGAACTAAAAAACTCCCTATATCATAAAAATTAAAAAAATTACTAATACCATCAATGATTGAAATACTATGGCCGTGATCCGATTCATGATGACAACGATCATTTGTCTTCGTTTAACATTTGACAAACAAGGATAAAACAATTGTTAAGCGTTGTGAATATGAATCGGACTGCGGCCAATTAAAGGCCATCGGCCCTGGGCAAATTTTCGTGACTATCAATAGGGCTCCGGGGAAATGAAAAATGATGACGTTATTGACAATTAAAAAAAATTTACGATTATAAATATATTTCAATAATATATTATTAAATTAGCAGGCTTGCCACTAAATCATTCTATTCTCACTTTTCTCATTGTTTTGAAGAAGGCTTACTTTTGTTCATTTTTTCAGTAAAAAACTCACCATTTTCATTTTTTCTCGATAAAATTGTATTATTTCTGTGTTTGCTATAATTTCTATCTAATAAGATTTAATTATACATTTTTAAAATTTTTTTTGCGTGTTTTCCTCTAATACTCTAATCCAATATTAATAGCGTTTTCTCTTGGCTGCACTATCGCCTATTAGTGCAACACTCGGACAGTATCATATTTCCAGGGTTGGTGATAAGCGAACTCATTCGATGTACCATATTTTCTTGGCTATGATGTAGTGCAAATTTTATGCACTAATTTTATGCAATTTTGCTACATCGTCTCAAAGGGACGGCAGTATGACATTTAAAATTTGAAAATGGAAGTCAAGTGGAAACAGGCTTTTAGCGCAATATGTAATGATGTAGTGATTACTGATAATACAAAGTTATTTTCAAATTAATTATATCATTATTTAATATAACTAGTTTATTAAGATTCTATAAGTTTATTTAAGTCTTTCATAATCAATAAATTTAGAACATATTTAAAACTTTATATTAATATAATTTTCTCTTATAGCATTTTCTCTTGGGATACATTGGGTGTAGTCTCGTACCGCACCAGTTGCGTGTAAGTGCTATACTCAGCTATACTACACTAGAGTGGTGCACACCATGGTACACTACACTATTACTTATAATCACTTTAATTTTAACCAGCCCGCGAACTTCCATAAGCGCCGACTGTCTTTAATATCTCGTCGGTATTAATACTAAACGCTTATTGGACTACAGTCGTCAAAAATGGCGGTCGAAATAGCCAATGGGAAAGTTGACGGTGTTTTAGCTCAGATAAAAGGAGATGCGCTACTTCAGTATATCTAGAGTAATCTAGAACATTAACTTTGTGCTAAGCTGCTTTTTTTCTGGACTAAACAACTGTTTGTTGCTTTCCGCTATCTTGGAAGATTCCGATTCGTCCATTCAAATTGTCTTTCTTTCGCGTTTTTCTTTCACGAACAAAAACGTGTGTGCCGCCTTACAATTTTTTTTTATTTGCGTTCTTTTTATGTGTTTATCTATATTTCTGACTTTCTGATTTCATTACGTTGTGTTAATGTGCCGCTTTTGCAGATTAACCAGTGTCCTTTATTGTTTATTCCACTTTGTGCGTGATGAATTACGTTCTCCAGTCGCTAAAAATTTGATCGTTTACAACTTCGCAAGCGTGAAATTAATAACGTGTGTAATATGGCGTACTATGATGCTCATATGGATGCTGAGCAAATGCCGGGTGTTGATCGGTAAGAACAAAAAAAGCATATATTTGATAAATGAATCTGCTTGGAATGATGCACTGCATAATAAAAAAGATCTTTACATTAAATATTTGTGTAAGTACATAATATACTTACTAGCGTAACTTGAAAGGTATCAGTAAATTATATACGTACCTCTGAAATTATAAATTTGTTTCATGTATCTTTAGAACAATATCCTAATGATAATTTATATCTTGTATATATAAATATAGGTTTTTATATTTTATATTATTTACAGAATGGATGTCGAATATACAATATATGTGAGGAATTTGCCAATAGAATTAAATTTTATATATATATATATACATATATAGGTTATAACTTTGCAAATCAATATTGTATATCCATGATGAGATTGTAAGATATCTTTATTTAACATGAATTCTAATAATTTTTAAGGATGGTATCAGAGATATTTTTAGTCAGTATGGCAAAATTAAGGAAATGTTCCATCCTCGTCATGCCACATGGACCTATGTTACATATGGAACATATCGTGAAGCTGAACTTGCTATGCGAGAACTACATGAAAAAAAACCATTATGTCTGAAAGTGACATTAGCAAAGGAGAGATCTAGAAAAGAAGAACATTTTGAAAAAACGAAGGTGATAGATACTGCAGATTCACCACCACCTATTCACAATGATATAAAATAGTAAGCATAATCGATGGTTATTGAAATAATAATTATGGAAGAGTATATCTTTATATATATTTAATATGAGAGAGTAATTAGATAATTTGTAATATATATTATTTTAGTCAGAATATGGGTCATGGTCAACCAACACATGCATTCCATAAACATGTAATGCCACATATAACAATACCATGTAGTTTTCCAAACTACGAATCATCATCTTTGTCTTCGTGTTCACAAACACATAGTATCTATGAGCTCGAGGATCCTTACATGAGTACTAATAAATTGTGGACAAGGTTAAATAAATATAAATTATTTACATTGTTTAAATTATTGTATTTTACTTTTTTTTTCATTTCAGAGGTATAATAACTGTTACGCCAGATGGAAAAAGACATGTTTCTCTTGGACGTGGTTATACACTATATGAATATCCAGAACCGCATCCTAAGGTTGAAGAATGTATTTCAAACATACATGAACAACGAAAGAATGTATGAAATTATAAAAAAAATATATAATTAATAAAAAATATATAATATAAAATTAATATAAAAATTTGAAAGATTATGTAGATACAATTAGTAATGTAATCTGCTATTAAAAAATTGATCTATAATTGTTTGTTATACAGGGATTATATGAATATTCCAAAGACAAATTTAAAAATGAAGTGCAGAACTGTTCTGTTTGTTCTACAAAGACAACAAAACATTGTGAAAAATGCCGTAC